ACAAGGGCACAGACCAGAGCATCCCCATGGCACGAGATGCAGGGACATGGAGCAGGGATAAGTCTGGGGACAGCTCCCAAGCAGCAGGGCACCAACACTGTGGCACTTACCGCTCCGGTGAAGAGCTCGAGGCCAGTGAAGGGATGGGGGCTGGCCACAGCAGGGGGATAGGCAGCCTGCAGGGCCACCACAAAAACCAAAAGGAGGAGGAGGGAGATGATGTTGAACAGCAGAAGCGTCTTGAGGAAGAGGAAATAGGAGAGCACGCTGGAACCAAAGCGGCCACTGATCTGCTTCAAGGCATAGTGCCAAGGCTGTGCGGCATGGACCAGTGCCAGGAACCTGTACCAGAGGGTCCGGCAGCCCTGGGGAGCGTGGGGGACACAGTAAGGGCATCCTGAAGCTGTACAGCCTCCATCACCACCAGCTCTGGCAACTGTGCTGCACACTTACAAGCACGATGCAGTCCTGGCACCATGCACATGGAGAGGTGGGTTCTGCAGAGTGGGCGCGTAGCCCCGGAGTGCTCCTCTTCTGGCTCAGCTGCCTCCTGCCCAGAACAGGGGGCATCAGGGGGATCCCAGGCTGGGAGAAGCCCAGTCCAGACAACAGGCACCTACCGGAGGTTGCGTTTCTCCTCCAGGCTGAGAGGCACTTCCAGCAGCACTTGGCTACGCTGCGCAGGTGGGAGGCTCGACAGCTCCTTTGCCAGCAGGCTCTGCTTGTCTGAAGGCACAGAAACTCAGAGGGATGCATCCAACAAGACTCATCACGCCCATCCTGAGCCCTACTCCAGGAGAATGCTCACCTGCCAGCGTGGCGTGGGCCGGGTCGGTCTCCAGGTCATACTGCCGCAGGCTGGGCCGTGCTGTGTGGCTGAGCTGCTGCAGGGATGGACGGCCGCTCCGACGCCGCAGCCGCGCCGTGCGGTTGTAGTATTGAGAGATAATGGCCCCACGGCTGCGCCCTGCGGCAGGAACACAGCACTGGGATGGGCGGCCTTAGGGAGAATTCCTGGAAGGGCTCACAGCACGGCACAGCCCGAGCAGGAGGGGCACAGGGGTGGCACAGGAAGGGGGTGGCACTCACCGATGGTGCGGCTGGGCATGTTGGCCAGGATTCGCAGGGTGGTGGCGTAGCCAGGGTGCTGCTCACCCTGCTCGGGCTCCAGTCCAGTAGTGGCCATGGGGTCCAGGGGGAACAGGAGAGCCGAGGGCTCTGGGGAGAGAGAGGATGTAGGATGAGAGCCAAGATGTACAGGACTGTCTCCCCCCACCCCACATTGCTGCAGTTCTGTGTTGTACCTCTGCTCCTCTCCTGCAGCTCCATTTCTATTGCTCCTGCCACCAGGCTGCTCTGCTCCTCGATGAGCTGGCAGAAGGAGCTGTGCAGGGCTCCCTCATTGTCCGGGCTCGGCTCCTGGCTGCAAGGGCACAAAGCTGAAACCCCCACTCGGCTATGGGGGAGGTGAAGGTCCAGGACAGCTGTGGGCGGAGTAGTTCTGCCCGCGGTGCTCAGCCCGCACTCACCCATCGCTTTCAGTGTTCTCAGGGACTCGGAGAGTGAAGGCAGGCAGTTGGGACATCCTGGAGCCGCGCTGTCTCCCGTACGCTGCCTGCACAGCGAACGCTGCCGTCAGCCCCGCGTCCCCCTGGTGGCACAGAGCCGGAGCTGAGGGTCCTCGGGGGTCCGCCGGGTCCCTGCCGGCCCAGGGGGCGCGCGGCCCGGTGCTGAGCGAGCAGCGAGACAGGAAGGAAGGGAAGGGGGGAGGAGCGCGCACGGAAAGATGCGGGGCGAGCGCTCGTCGAGGCGCGGCCACCGGGGGCCGAGAGCCCGCAGCGCTCTGCTCGGATCGGTTCAATGCAGCGGAACAGCCGCTCCCAGGTCCCGAGCACTCGAGGCCGGAGCACAAAGCTCGTTCCTCTCCTTGCGGATCCCGGCCGCCACCACTGACGGCCCTATGGAGCTGAGCGCCGTCCCCATCCTCGTCCCCGTCCCCTCCCCGCCCCGCACAGACAAAGGCTGCGGGCAGGAAGAGGCCCCGGGCCACGACCCGCCGCCCTCCCCCTGCACCAGCGGCAGCGCACCCGGTTCCAGCGGCCGCCGCAGACGCGTCCGGAGCTTCCCGCGGCGTCCCAGGGCGGCGGGCACGGCACAGCGGCGTCTCGCGTGTGCGCCTCCCGGTGCCAGGCACGGGGCGGCAACGAGCGGCGCGGGCAGGGCGCGGGGCAGGGCGCTCTGGCGCTCCGTACCGCCGGCAGTCACACAAACCGCACCCGCAGACGCGGGGCCGGATCTCGGCGCGGCACAGAGCACGCCGGGAGGCGCGGGGCGGTCACGAGGAGCGGGGCTCGCGTGGTGCCCGCCGGATCCCGGGAGCCGCGCCGCGCGCAGCCCGGGCCGCGGGGCAGATTCGCGCTACCGCGTAGAGCCCCGCACGCCGCGCCGGCGCCGGTCCCCAGCCCCGGAGCCCCTCCCAGCACCAGCCGGGGCGGGGCGGGCCCAGCAGGTGGCGGCGGACGCAGCGCCCGGCCCTCTCGGGGCGGTGCCGCGCAGGAGCGGCCGTAGCGCGGCGGCGGCGGCGCGATGGAGGGCGGCGGCGCGTACGGGGCGGCCAAAGCCGGCGGTGCCTTCGACCCGGTGCGCTTCGTGCAGCAGCCGCAGGTCTTGGCGCGCATCGCCAGCGCGGTGAGTGCGGCCGGGGCGGCCCTGCGCTGCTGTGTCGTGCGGCCGAACCCGGCCTTCCCTTCTCTTTCTCTTTCCCTTTCCCTTTTCCCCCCGTCTCCGAGGCCCGGTCCGGCCCGGTGCGGCTGTGTTTCCCTTCCCGCAGCCTTCACTTTCTTTCCCGCGGCCTTCCCCCCGTGCCCGGCCATAGTCACGGGGCACTCAGCTGAGCTCGGGGCGGTGCGGGGCTCGGGCAGCCCCCGACGGGGCCCCTCTGCTCCGGGGCCGCCCCCTGACGCCGCCGCTGCCGCCCCGCAGGTGTTCGCCCTGATCGTGTTCGCCTGCCTGGTCGGGGAGGGCTACACCAACTCGCCCCGCTCCTCGCAGCTCTACTGCGTCTTCAACCGCAACGAGGACGCCTGCCGCTACGGCATCGGCATCGGCGTGCTCGCCTTCCTGGCCTGCATTTTCTTCTTCATGGTGGACGCCTACTTCCCGCAGATCAGCAACGCCACCGACCGCAAGTACCTGGTGCTGGCCGACCTCGGCTTCTCGGGTACGGCCTGGGCCGAGCTCCCGGCAATGGCGGTCCCATGACGTGGCTGCGCGGTGCCTGGCGCAGGGAGCTGCTGCTGGCACGGTGCCTGCAGGCCGTGTGCTGCCAGCCCCGGGGAGCGACGGGGTTCCGGGAGCAGCAGGGCTCTGGCAGCAGCAGCATGCAGCCCTCACGCCCGCTTCCCCCCGCAGGGCTCTGGACCTTCCTTTGGTTTGTCGGCTTCTGCTTCCTGACCAACCAGTGGGCCTGGACGCACGATGAGGATGTACACATCGTGGCTGACTCGGCGCGTGCTGCCATCACCTTCAGCTTCTTCTCCATCTTCTCATGGGTGAGTGCTGAGGGGGCTCTGCAGGGGTCTTCTGCTTCGTGCCAGGCTCTGACGGGCTCTGCTTTCTGCAGGGTCTCCTGATCGCCTTCGCCTACAAGCGGTATAAGATGGGGGTGGAGGACTTTGCGCACAGCTACGTCGACCCCTCGTCAGAGGTCTCCACGCCGTACTCCAGTTACCCCAACATCAGCCACGACAGCTACCAGCAGCCGCCCTTCACCCAGACCACAGATGCCACCGAGGGCTACCAGCCACCACCGGTGTACTGAACCCGGCCCGCAGGGATGGCTGTACAAGTGCAATTTTCTCTCGTGGGGTGGGAAGGGAGGGACCTATAACTTGAATGGGGAAGAGGGCAGGAGGGTGATGGTTGCTTTGTGTGAAGACCACTGGGGGTTGGGTGGATGCCGGGGCAGAGGGTAGGGCCTGGTGCCTGTCGTGGGGCTGTGTGCTCCCTGCTGTGAAGCAGTGATGGCTGAGTAGAACCTGCTGTGCACAGCCAGCTCCCCTGGGGGGTGGGGGGTTGGTGCTCTGGAGTGGCAGAGCCCCGAGCCTCACTGCTGTGCCTTTGGGGGAGTAATGGTGAGCACCCCTTGTTCCCTCCCAGTGCTGCTGCCTTGGCCAACTCTGCTGACTGCAGTCCCCAGGTGCCACCTTTAACTGCTGTAGCATCTGTCCCAGCACAGCTGCGCGGGGCAGTCCAGCTCCTGCCTGCCACTGGGTTTGCGTGCCTTCCTCTCCTCCTTCAGCTGCTGCTGGCTGAGCTTGATGCCAAAGCCTCATCTTCTGAATATGCACCTTTGTGCTGTGCCTTCCCCAGAGCCTGCACGGGAGCAGCTGGCACTCAGTGGTTTGGGATCTGTGGGAGGGGTGGGTGCTGGGCTCGCAGCAGGGCAGCTCCCTTCCCCCAGAGCATCTCCCTGCCAACTGCAGACCCTGTGTCTGTCTCCCTCTGAACCCTGCTGGGTCTCCCCATGCCCTGCTCGCTGCTGTCCGAGCCGTGCCCTGCTCAGCAGCCACTGCCCCAGGCTGGGTGCCGTGCTGTGCCTCCGCGTGGGCCGTGGCTTTGTCTCAGGTTGTGTGCTGCTGTGCCTGTTGTGAAGCTGTTCCCAGCAGCAGCGTGAGGTATGTGAGCTGTAGCTGCTGGGGCTGATATTCAGCTATGCCTTTATCACTGTAGAAACGGAATAAACTTTTTCACCTAGCCACCACCTGTGTTTCTTCTCTGAAGAACTGGGTTCTTCCCCTGTGCTGTGTGCTTGGGGGGGTTCTGGGGGGCAGCTGTGGAGCTGGTGCCTGTTGTGCTATCAACAACAAGCTCACGCCAGCACCTATTTTTAGCAAGGCTTGCTGCTCCTCAGGACAGCCTGAGCAACATCAGTGCCGTGTGACCAGCAGCCAGCACACACTGCTGCTTTGTGAGCAGGAAAGCCACACACCAGACTGCTCTGAAAAGACACAGGCAATTTTATTAAGTTATTTGTTAATCTAGAATACAAGCACTACTGCCTGTTCCTCATGCCTAAAAGGAAGGCCCAGGCCTGACAAGGGTTTGTGAACACCATGACTGTAATTGCTTTAGTTAACACAAAGGAAGTGGGGTTTCAGAGTCCTTGAGGGCAGCTGCCTGCTCCTCAGCACAGTAGTAAACAAGTATTGTAGAGAGCACTGTGTTTGAGAGAGGATTGACAAAGCCCAAACAGAACCAAGAGCTACTGCTCAGAGCTCAAGGAATCTGATGAGAAAAAGCACTTTATACAAAGCAGAGACCCCTTCCCAGGTCGCTGGATCTTCAGAGGAACAGTAGCCCAACTCTCTACAGTTTAATTCCTGATTCCCCCAAACTTCCTCAGGTCACTTAAGCCCTATGAAGTGGCTGCATGTAGCTTGAACTTGTGTAGAAAATCCTTTTTAATTTCAAAGGCTAGAAGGAGCCTAGGAGTCAGGCTGACAAGCCTTCCTTCTTCCCTCCTCCATTTAAGAACAAAACAAAAAAACATGTATTTACAGCAAATTTAACAGCAAGCTAATTGGCTATACACAATTGTTAAGAGACTGCAAAGGGCCAGGATGCTGCTCTGTGTCAGTTGAAGTTGTGCCACTGTTGCATAGAAAGGGAAGGGGCATCTCCTCAGGCTGTATTAAAAAGGAAGTGGCTTTCGGAAGCCAAGTTACTGTATGCTGTTGTAAGAAACCCAGAATTTAGCAGCAGCACACGGAAAAGGCTGTTTGCAGGCAAGTTACCTGGCTACCGGTGGCGAGTCTGAACGTGTGCCAGGAGCAGGAGGGCAGACCAGGCAAGTTGTCAGTGCCCCACAGCCTGGGTTGGTGTGGCAGCTTTCCAGCATGTTTGTATGGCAGCATCAGTAATTAAATCTCTTTTCCACGTTCTGGGAAAGCAACTCCCTTTTAGTCAGACTCTGTTTTCAGCTCTCCCTGGCATCAGGTCCAGCTGATTGCCCTCTTTCCTGGCACTTGGAGCAGAGGAAGAGCAGCTTGGTTTGGCAGGTAGAGCTATGGCATTTAACAGTTTTGATAAAGGGGGGGGAAGCCAGATCTGAAGTCCAGGAGCTGCAACTTTTAGCTTCTTTCCTTGTATCCTCTCCCTCCCCCCCCCCCACACCAGAGTGCAGCAATCAAGAAGCAAAGATCTTCCGTGAGGCTGGCATATCCAGCTGCTTCACCTCCATGGGCACGTTCTCCTTGTTTTCTGACCCAAGCTGTTGAGGCCTCTTCTGGAAGTAGCAAGCTCGGCAGACAGAGTGGTATTTGTCTGCTCCTCCAATCACTTCAACCTATCAAGGAAATCAGAAGAATGACTCTGCAGAGATCAGCTTACCTGAGAAGATCCTTTCTAGACTAGCAGAGCTGGCAAGGTGGAGCTGCTGTAGTGCTTTGTGTTCCAAGGGAACTTACCTCCCTCTCTGCTCCCAGCCTCTTTGTGTAGGAGGCCTCTCGGTAGCACTCCATGCACACAGCGTTCAGCTTCACCACGCTCTCAGCCAGCGGGACCAGGTTCAGGATGCTCCCAAAAGCCTGCATCGAGACAGAGGCTGTATTGTTGGTTGAATCTGGTAGTTCCCAGTGCAGCTGCTGTACTAAAACTAAAGCATTTCTACCTTTCTCTGGAAAGTCCCATCAAGAGCAGCAACAATGATGGTTTTCCCAGCGTTGGCCATCTTTTCACAGAACTCCACAATGTCTGGGAACTACAAGAGGTACAGAAACAGCAGCTTCAGGAGGAAGAAGGGGTAGTGCTCTGCTCCAGGTTTAGCAGTGCACACCCCAGGCCACACACTTACAAACTGCCCTTCATCGATGCCAATGACCGCAGAGCCCAGAGCCTCCTGGTATACATCCTTAAGGGCACAGGCAGGGCGGGCCTCCATAGTGTTCCTGAAGGGGAACAGGAGAGGATGAGCCAGGCAGCCCAGCCACAGGTCCACGGGCACAGATCCTCCTGCCCATAGCCCACCTGTCATGTGTGGAGACGCCGGTGGTGCAGTAGCGGGTGTCCTTGGCGTATTTCACCAGCAGACACCGGTACTGAGCGAGCTGGAAGCGCCGCACGCGCCGCATGAGCTCTGTGCTGCGAGAGCAGGAGTCAGCAGACCCAGCCACAGCCTGCTGCAGCCCAGCCCATCCCGCCCCGCCTTACCTCTTCCCAGAGAACATGGGGCCGAAGATCACCTGGAGACAGAGCCACACGGTCAGTGGTGAAGAGCCGGACCGCCATCGCCCCGCTGCAGCGCTTCAGCCCCCACCCGGCCCGGCACGGCCGCCCCGTCGCCCCGCACAGCCGCGGCACCGAAACATCCCCCGGCCCGGCCCTCCATTACCGGTGTCGCGCAGCCACGGGACTCGGCATTCCCTCGCAGCGGACCCGGCCCCACCAATCCCGGCTCCGCCCACACCCAGCGGCCCCGCCCCGACCGGTACCTGGATCTGCCCACGCGGGCGGCTGGGTGAGCCGGGATGCACGCCGGGCACGGTCAGACAACTCATTGCCGCGCCGCTGCTCACAGACCGACCGACCGACCGACCGACCGACTGAACGACTCACAGCCCGCGCGCGCGCCGCCGGACCGGCCAATCCGCGACAGCCTCGCGCCCATGGATCGCCGCCGCCGGCCAATCCGAGCAGAGTTATCCCCGCAGCGCCGACCAATCCGGGCGCAGGCGGGAGAATTTTCATTTTTCGCCGCGCTTCCGCGGAGCGAGCTGCCTTCCCGGCGTGCCTCGCGCGAGGCTCTGGCGTCATCGCTTCGTCCGCTGGGTCAGAGGTCTCAGCTCGGCCCCGCTGCCCGGCCAGACCCGACAACCGGCGGCCAATGGCCGAGGGGCGGCCCCGCCCAGTGCCCCGACCCGGCCCAGCCGCCAACGGCAGCGGAGCCGGATGGTTGAAGAGAAGATGGGACGGTGGCAGGACATGGATCTGGAGGTGCGGGGCGCGGGGTCTGGCCGGGCTGAAGCCTCCTGCTTTGTGCCCCGGGTCCGGGCGCCCCCTCCGTGCAGCCCCGCGTTCGTGTGCCCGCAGGAGCTGGAGGAGCAATACTCGCCCAGCCGCTGGTCCCGCCGTATGGACAGCGAGAGCGTCATCCGGGCCCACATCGATGTGATGACGGCAGGTGGGGGGGTGCGGCCGGGCCCGGCGGGCGGCACCGAAATGGGCACGGCCCCAACCCGGGCCTGCAGAGCTCAGCACGGAGCTGCGGTGCTGCATACGGTCTGCGGGCTGATTCTCCCCCGGCCCCACAGGAACGCAGAAGGCCCAGGCTGCTGCACAGACCTCGCTGCACGTCCCCTATGGAGATGGGGATGGGGAGAAGCTCGACATTTATTTTCCTGCGGACTCTAATGAAAGTAGGTGGTGAGCACGGTGACTGGGGGGTGAGGTCATGTCTGTGTGCTTACCTGTGCTGTGCTGTGCAGCTTTCCCGGTCTTTGTCTACATCCATGGTGGATACTGGCAGTGCTTGAGGTAAGACAAACTTCTGATATGGGCTCCCTTGAGAAGGGAGCTCCCAGGCTTCTTTTACATCTTCCTTCTCTAGAGAACAACACTAAACCCAGACTTTGGTATCCTGGACCCAATGGCCATCCCAGCCAGCTCCATGAGGACATCTATCTGTCCCCTGGAGCTCGGCAGCTTCTCTCTCTCCGCCCCCCCACAGTAAGGACGCGTCGGGTTTCGCAGCCCCTGCGCTGCTGTCGCAGGGCATTGCAGTGGTGGCCATGGGTTACGACATCGCTCCCAAAGGTAGGCAGGGCCCAACGGGGGGCATGACTTCCCCCGATGGCCTGGTGCCCATCTGGCTCTGCACTCTGTTCAGGTCACATGGATGCAATGGTGCTCCAGGTGCGGCGCAGCCTTGCCTTCCTGGTGAAGCAATACCACAGGATCAGGTGGGCAGCATGCAGTGCCCGGTGTCCCTGTTTCCTGTGCCAGCAGCCTCTACTGCTTCTGTCTGGTCTCAGATTGTGTCCCTGTTGCTCCCTGGGTGGATTATTGCATGGGGGTGGCTGTGACAGAAACAGGATGGGGAAGCCCTGAGTTATGATTAAGACCTCAGTGCCTTGGTGCAGCACCACTGACTGCAATCCTTTCTCACTGTACAATGGCTCAGTTGGTGGACTGGGAAATATGGCCAGTCTGCAGCTCCTGGGGCACTGCAACTGGGATGTCCCCAGCATGTGACGCGCTCTTTCTTCGTGCTTATGGCTCTTTCTCTCTAGGGGTATTTACTTGTGTGGGCACTCGGCAGGGGCTCACCTGGCAGCCATGGTCTTGTCCACAGACTGGACAGAATTTGGAGTGGTTCCAGATATCAGAGGTAGTGCCTTTAGAGACCCCTGTTCTGGAGGGCTGGTGTTCAGCACCAGGGGGCTGCACCCGGGCATCTTCCGCTTTACTGTTCTGCAATCTGTTAAGCTGATCACTTGCTTCAGCTGACTGCATCTTGCATGTCCTGGGGGAAGAAGAATCTGAGCTCCTGCTGCAGCCCAGCAGCCTCCCTCTATTGCTCTAGAGCCATGGGGACTTAGGCATGAGGAGGCCTGAATTGCAGAGCCACTCACCCACCACATCTGTGTTTGCAGGAGCTGTTCTGGTGAGCGGTGTGTATGACCTGGAGCCCCTTCTGCACACCTACGTGAATGATGCACTGAACATGAGCCTGTGAGTCCGTCTGTGGTAGGAACAGCATATGGAAAAGGGCACGGGCAGCTTGTGAGCATGTGTGGCTTTGGTCAGCACAGCCTGTGGGCAAACACCAGCAGCTTTGCAGCCTGCTCTGCCCATGCATGCAGGCCCTGCACCCTCTGTCTTGCTGGTGCATGCTGCTGAGGGTGTGGGGGTGCACACAGGCACACGCTGGCTGTGACTGCAGTGTCTCCTCCCCAGGGAAGTGGCCCAGAGGAACAGCCCCATCCTGTGTGTCACCCAAACAGTGCCTGTGGCTGCATCCTGTGAGGTGCTTGTGGCTGTGGCCCAGCACGACTCCCCGGAGTTCCGCAGGCAGTCACAGGAGTACAGCCAGGTGAGCTATGCAGGGATGCTGTGTGGGCTGCCCTCCTTAGACCTGCTCTGCACCCTCTGCAAACCCTTAAGTGAAGTGGGCTCTTGCTTGGAGATTTCTGAGCTGGTAATGCAGAGCTGCCAAGAAGAGAGTGGGGCTGCAATGCTGAATCAGGACTGCCTCCTGCTTTGGGAAGGTGCCTCTTCTTGCCATTGGGCCCAGCTCTTTCTTCCAGTCAGCTCTGGTGATGAAGACCTCACGTGCTGTATCAGAGTGTTATTTCTGCTGCTGATGTGATGACCACCCTCATCAGGGGAGAATGCTGGTCCTTGCTGAGCCGTTGCTCGTTCTGTGCTGTGGGGCCCAGCTGGGGTTCCCCCTGCCAGCACTGATCTGTCCACAGGCTCTGCGCTTAGCTGGTTGGTCTGTCTCTTTGTTGGATCTTGCCAGCGTGGATCACTTTGACATCATTGAGAAGTTGTCAGAGGAAACTTATGTCCTCACTCAGGTAAGGGGGAGAGGCTCTCTCCTGCAGCCACCACCTTTTGCTGTCCTGAGTACAGCTCAGAGCTGCCAGGCCGGGAGGGAGGGCAGTTGCTATGGGTGTTTTCCCCCAGCGTGAGGCGCTGTGGGGCCAGGCACCATTCACAGCATTCGGTTCCTCATGCCAGGTGATTCTGAACATGATTGCGAGAGCTTGATGACATGTTGGAACAAACTGGAGATGGAAACCTCAGCCCTGTGCAGTGACAGACAGCCTTCATGCACTCTGCCCTGTGCTTGTCCTTGTTTTCTCTTTCCAGCCCATTGGGGCCCCTGTGGCACACAGCAGTTACTGCACCAAGATACCATTTTTGGTTCTGTAAGGGGCAGATGAGCCTCCACTGCTCCTCCCAGCCTGCCAGCAGCATGCCCTCACAGCAGGAGAGCTCCAGTTAGCACAGGCGAGTGTCAGTGATGATATTCCTTCATTGAGGTGTTCCTGTGCTTTGTGGATGTTCTCTGAGCTGGACCATCTGTGGTGAGCAGAGCTGACTGCCTGCTGTGGGTCTGTCTGCTGACTGGATGTTGAAGTTTGTTCCTTGAAGCTGCTAATTGCCAATACAAAATAAAATAGGAATAAGTGCTGCCTGGGTGGAAATCTTGGGAACGTGTAACTGTGCTCAGCTATTGAGCATACTTAGCTCATGCATAGAGAAGCTGCTCTGTGGCAGAGCTTGGGTCCTGAGGAGGGCAGTTCTGTGTCAGGCAGTAGGGAGAGCACCACTCAGCTCTTTGTGCACATGGGACAGAGGGGCCCTGCAGCAACACAGCCACTGTCAAGGGGTGCAACAGCAGCAGTTACAGGAGCTGCCTGCAGGCAGGCAGAGCTGTGCCTGGGACAGCCCTGGTCAGACAGGAGCTCTGCTGCTGGGAAGTAGCCCTGTTCCTGTGTCTGTGAGGCACCTGCATGTTCTCAGGAGCACTTCTTCCATGGAGACCTCCAGGCCTTGGCAGCATCCGTGCTGCAGAGTAAGGGGAGGAGCATCTTTGGGTGGAAAAAAACATTCTGCATTGCCAAAAAATGTTTATTTAGACCTCAGTTGCCTCAATAGACCAGTAAGAACTGTGCTGAGCACAGAAGGCTGCAGAGAACTCTTCCTGCCCTGCTGTTCCTGTGCAGCATGACCCAGAGGCCCCGGATGCTGCTTGTCCTGCTTTGGCTGTGTGGTGTGGGCCGTGGCAGTCCCAGCTGCTGTGGGCTGAGGACTGGAGTGCTTGGGATGGCACATGCTGGATGGCGAGCGGCCTTGGCATGGCCAGGCTGGTGGTGTGAGCTGTGGGCTCGTCTGGGAAAGAAATTGCCCCAGGAGGTGTGGTGCTCTTTTGGGAAGCTGTGAACTGCGGTCTCCCTAGGGTTGGGCTTGCATGCTGGCTTGCAGGGGTGGAGATGGTGCTGCAGCTGGTTGGGAACATGCCTGGAGCACGCTGTGGGAGGTCCCAGCCCCTTTGCCAGCAGCTGCCCCAGCCCACATGCTTGCCTGCTGCAGCCCAGCAGGGATGGCTCTCCCACGGGGCTGGGAGGAGGCACTCAGTGCTCTCCTGTGCCACGAGGACCGGGGCCCCGGCCCTGGGCCAGCTTCTCCTGACACTTTCTGGCCACAAAACCCAGCTTGTTCAGAGCGAGCTCAGTGTCATGGGCTGAGACATCACAGTGCCAGACCGCACGGACAGTGCGCTCCGACCAGGGGAACAGCAGGACGCTGACAGTGCAGCCCGTCTCAGCCAGCTCCTCCTCGCTCACTGCCTGCAGGTATGTGCAGAGCTCTGCTGGGGGCAGCCCCTTCACTTCCACCATCACGATGTTCGTCTCTACAGCCGCCAGGCTGACAGAGCAAAGAGGCGAGTTCAGCTCCTGGATGCCTGTGGAGGTGCAGGCTGTCAGCAGGAGGCTGCTCAGGCACTGCATCTGCAACAGGACCCGGCTCTGCAGCTGCACACTGAACCTGCAGGGGAGCGAGTTTATGCTGAGGGCACCAAATGTCCCGA